CTGTTAAAAAGCACCAATATAACTAAGTAAATCTAAATAAGATGCGTTCTCGAATGTCCCGCCTACGCGAAAATGGGCGCTTTTGCAGGTGACTCGGGCGTCATTTCCACATTTGCTCGAATTTTCAAGTGTTTTTCATACAAGAAAATACGGAGATGGCAGAACATAGTTGTATTGGTGGTGGAGATATCCATCAATTACGATGTGTTTAGCAGAGTTTTATACGGCACTCTGTTAAATCTTGCATTCGTTTATGGGAGATGTGGTTGGGTGTCATTGCCAAAAAGGGTTGTTCTACTTCGCTCGGTTGACAGACTTGGTGTTTCTAGAGCATTTTGTTGGCATTCTAGACATATTATGGTGTTGGATTGAATTTATCTGGTTCCTATGAGTCATCGCTCCCATGGAAGACCGCCTAATGTTCGGCTCTACTGTAGTCTCTCATAATTTCGGCTTTCAAGGATTTTTTTGAAAGTCACCGCACTCTGGGTATTGGAGAGTTGTCTTCTTCTAGCCACTAAGAGTCGGCCCTTAATAGCAGATGACAACAAATCCCAAATGCTGGTAGTTTGGTTAATTGAAACGGGCGGAAGTGGCACATCGGAAAACGATTCTGCTGCTGCAAACTCAATTTGAGCTTTATACACGTGTTCAGCTTTTCCACCCATTCAGTCATCTTTGAGATGTGTAGGATTTATTAATCTTACTCTTACTCATTAGCTATAACACAGCTCGTCCGGAATCGTCTTCGATGGAAATTTTCAGAAGGGAGTCGTCCACAACAGAAGCATGCTCATGGCCACCTCATCTCAACGATGAAATTCCTGAAGACCAAATATTTCAGCCAGTGCTGTGCTGCGCTTTTACTGGTGCTTCTTGAGCCTCATCTTTGATCGCTTTTTCGACAGGTCCATGAGTAGTTTTAGCACATTGAACTGAACTCGCCCGAACTACTGTCTCGTTAGCTTCAGTTCAAACCCATGAAAAGCCCCGAGAATACAGTTCATCTTAAATACATATACACCGAAGGAAAGAATATGTAGTGGGCTTGCCGATGATATTTAGGGTTTCAGGTTTTGACAGAGATTTTTGTGTGGAAATTTCCCAAGAATCCATGGCATCGGGACCCGCATTATTTTCGGAACAACCTAATAATTGATAAGGACTGCAAAAAGCGAATAAAGTGAAGCTAAGCGAATAGTGGTCATCAAAGTCATTATAGGGTATAGCGAAGATCAAACTGAATAGAGGTGTGGTATGAAGCTACGCAATAATATCGTCATCAGCATCAAGAAACACTTCTAGTCATGCGAAGCTTATTTCGTCGCCAAAACATGTAATTTTCTGAAAAATGATGGATTTCTATGAGATTGGCAAGCTCTGAGGAATAACTAATTAGTAATCATCCCTGAATTCATATTATTATTGGAACAACACAGAGAAGATTAGCGTGGCCCCCGCGCAAGGATGACACGCAAATTGTTCTATAACCAACCCTGTAGTAATATTATTTCGTTGGGAACATCACCTTGTTAGACACAACGGGACCATGCATGCTGCTCAATTGGTGGGTCATGAACGCACACGGAGCGCACACTTAACCATTCTACATGGTGTTAAATAGCCAGCTGCAGGGCACAGTATGTGGGAGGAAGTGGGGAGGGGAAAGAAGAAAACTGCCAATAAATCGGAGCCCATGTCACCTTCATTGCAGTACTTTTACGATGTGAAGAGAGCGAGATGTTTCCCATTTGAATACACTGGCTGTGGTGGAAACGCAAACAACTTCCCATCAGTAACGGAATGTAAGCAAAAGTGCATGCCAGGTATGCTGCAGAGTTTACTTCCTTCTCTAACCATAAGTGTTCGTATTGGTGCTCAAATTTCATATGTGATTAAGTGGGTTTAGCTGACTATCTCACTTGTCCTGGAGATGCGTACCCCGTAGGACACTGTAGTCGTGAGAAATCGAAATGCCCAACGGGCTCGACTTGCTACAATGGTTGGAAATCTGGGTTTTGCTGTGACGATGCAATTACAAGTAAGAATAATTTATAGATTCTCGATCACAGATACTTAATAATATACGTCCAGCGAACAAAGAAGAATGTTTTCAGATAAAGCCGAGAGCAGGGACTGCGGCGGCAAAAAGCTAGTTGAAGTGAGTTCGCATCAGTGGAATTAGAAAACCTACAAAACAAACTCCTATGAGTGAAGATTTGGAAATTGTTGGAAGTGCGCTGCCGTCTGTACTTTACTGAAGGAGCAGCTACCGCTCTAGGTGAACGAAAGGAGGAATCAATAAGTCGCCGCGACAGCTCTTGCGGTATTTGCCGGAACAGCGTAGCCTAACACTGCTTGCGCTGAGGTTTGAAGATCATGTGTAGGAAGCTAGAGTGCTCTTTCATACCATCCATTCAACTCTAACATCAGCAGCTCCTGAAGCTCAGAAACTGCTGAATATTTTTACCCATGGACGTCAGCGCCCTGTTATTTCGTGATAGCTTTCTTCCGGGAAACAGAACGAGCGAAGCCTGCCGAGGAATTAGTGGCGCAAGAGAAGCAAAAATAATCAACAAAAAGGAATGACGACATTCTTCGAGGAGCTGCTAGAGCAGCTGTAATTTCGAAAA